GTTCGTTCTCCTGACGCACCATCAACTTAATGAGAGCACTATCTACCAGAATCTTTAAAAGACAACTTCGTTTGGTCCACTACTCCAAGTCCATCTTCATTCGGAAGCAAGTCATGAACTCACCCACGTCGTAAGACACCCAATCATAGATAGTGATAACAGGAAGAGTTTGGGCGGGCTCCACTCCTTCATTTGTCGCGTCAATCTCCATGCTCCCGAAAATAAACTCTCAATCCTAGTACGAGCGACCTTATTATTATCTACATTAGTCGCATTGTTAGTCGAACCCTCATCCCACTCATTGACTCAAGGATGGAAGAAGAGATAGATCCCAACACCGACAAGTCGAGGCATCATCATCATCGTATCCTTGGCCTCCCCTTCTTGAAGACTTCTCAGACAAAGACAAGTTAACGATCAACATTATTACTTGAAAAGAAGATGAACGCTCGATTGGCAAAGAAGGTTGAGGAAAATGGTGAAAATGAAAGGGAAAGTCCACCCCTATTTATAGTGAACCAACCCCCCTCCTCTCGAGCGATATCGACCGTTGGATCAAGCTAAATCCAACAGTCCAGGATACGCAACCCTGTGGATTCTCTTAGTCACAAACCATAAAGTGTTACGTGCCCTTTTTCTAACTATCATCTTTGGCCAATTGTTCAGATATTCTTAAACGATGGAGAACGAACGACCTTAGATGCCATTGATACCCACCAAACCGAGCGACCACTATTGCACGTTCAATCACAAACTCTTTCACCAGCTACCCTAGGCTTGGGCTTTGGGGCATGTGTATCGGATGATCGTCCGGTCAACCATTGACTGAGCGATTAGTCCCAACATCCTTAAGCAATTCACCGAGAAACTAGACTTTCATTAGCTGAGGGAACTGATGGAACGGTAATTTCCCTAATGATGATCAAACTCAATTAAAGTATGTCTACATGTAAAATATGTTTATCAACTGATTGGTCGTAATTAGGCAGATACTAATTAAAAGTCCATTCTGAAACCTATAAATATATGTTATAAGGTAATGAGGTAGGTAATTGTATTTATTGTATTATCGATAATTAACTTTGTTTACCGCATGATCATCTACTCACTTAAGTATTGCAAGTAACTTATTGCACCGTGTAAATAAATAAAGGAATGAAGGAAAAAAGGTGTAGATAGCAAAACAATTTAAAGTTTGTTTGGAGCTCGGTATCCGAGAAAGTTGACTTCAACCTATTATTAGAACAAGAAAAATAACTTAAAAAAAAAACTCGTAAACCTCAATGTCATCGTATATGGTTTGTCATAAGAACACGTACTCTCAAAAGATAAAATCGATACTTTCTTTTCTATTTCCTCTATTTGTTTTCAAACTTTCTTTTATCGTAAGAAAGAACTTTAAATTATAATTAAAAAAAAAACACAACACAATTCAATTTCTTGTTTTTATGTTTGTAGTAGTATTTCCCCTGTTTAGAAAAAAAAATAGAACATATTCTATAATTAAAATGCAATCCTTAAAATTTATGTCTATTTATTAAATATTAAATTTACATGCTGCACTGTGTGAAAATTATGTCCTAACTTTTAAATTATATCTATATTGATTTATTTGTTTATTAATATACATTAACAGGATGTACCGATTGAATTTCTATTAAATGAGATGTACGCGGAATACTCAATATCCATCTACATTATTGCATCAGTGACTATCTATAAATATCACACAACCTTGCAAGAAAACCATTGAGAAAGCAAAATGGAACAGTTATTTTGGCAGAGAGCAGTATCAATTGTGTTCGTTTTCTTTGCTCTGAGATTTCCCAGGGCAGTAGCTACTAAACCAGCAGTTCCAGCATTGTTTTCATTCGGAGACTCAATTCTTGATACGGGAAACAATAACAATCTTCAAACGATGAGCAAGTGTAATTTTCCACCCTATGGAAGGGATTTCCCAGGTGGAGTACCTACAGGAAGATTCTGCAATGGAAGAAATCCCACAGATTTGATAGGTAACGAGATTATGAACGTGCATGCATGCATGCATGTCTGGTTTTTGCTTTTACTGTTGAGATCGATAACAAATCCAAAATGGTTCATGATATGAATTGAATATTGTGTATGCAGCATCTGCATTGGGAGTAAAAGAAACAGTGCCAGCATATCTTAGCACCACCTTGACTCCTCAAGACCTCATCACTGGGGTTTCCTTTGCTTCTGGTGGTTCTGGGCTTGATGATCTCACTTCTAAAGTACAGGTAATATATCACACTTTCACTGCATTTTAGGTTGTTTGCTTCGGAGAAAAGTTATGTTTTTCCATGATGTTTTATTATGCGTGAGATCAGGGAGTTATAACGACACCAGCCCAACTGGCGATGTTCAAAGAATACATAGGAAAGCTGACAGCAGTTGTCGGACAACAACGTGCGAGTGAGATCCTAGCCAACAGCATTTTCCTTGTTTCTGCCGGCAACAACGACGTTGCCTTCACCTATTCTTTCCTTCTTGCCACCACACGTCCTTTCCCTCAATATGTCTCTTATTTAATTTCCCTCGCCACAAACTTCTACAAGGTTCCATTGCCACCTCTCCCTTCTACTCATAATTTTCTAACATATCTTGAATTTAGACTTGTCATGTTTGGTTAGAATTAACATGAGAAAGTGTGTATGAACTTGAAGAGTCTATATGATCTTGGAGTACGAAAAGTGTGGGTGTTAAGCACATTGCCACTGGGATGCTTACCTGGAGGTAGAACAACAGGTGGAGGGCCATTGAGATTTTGTGCAGAACTTGCGAACATGGAAGCACAGACATTCAATGGGCAGTTATCAGAAGCAGTTGATTCTCTCAAAGCCAGTCTTCCAAATTATGACATTAGATTCGTCGATGTTTATAATCCTTTTCTTAGTATTATTAATAATCCACAGGCATCAGGTTATTTTCTACACAACTTGATTCAGTAATTCAAGATTAGTTCATATTAATTAACAGTGTTATGATTATTATTTCAGGGTTTACAGACGCCGGTGAAGCGTGTTGTGGGACTGCTCCATTTGGAGTTTCAGGGCTGTGTAACCTTCTGGATATATGTCCAAATCCTTCCACTTTCATTTTCTGGGATTTTGCTCATCCGACCGAGAGAGCTTATCAGCTTGTGGTGAATTCTATTCTTCAGAAAATGAACATGAATGTTCCAAGCTCTTTTGCTTCTTCTCATGTTAACACTTCTATCACAAATTAAGGAAGCATTTCTCTCAAATGGAGAGAGACAACAAACTTCAAGTCTTTATCATCAAGTCTCAATAATTAGCATGAATTTCAATATAAGTTTTTTAATTTTTGTTTTTTCTTATGTGTATTTTTTCTTATGTCTCCATGCACCATTTAGGACCAAAATACTAAATCTGAAACAATATAATATGAAATTGAATGTCTTTATATGATTTAATTTCCCTTAAAATATGTTAATAATAAACTTTCATTGTGTTTAGGTATTAATAAAATTTAGTCTTTATCAAAATAAACTAGAATACATGATATTAAATAAATATAAAATCTCGTTATAGTTAGTTTTTAATTGCTTTATAAATGAGAAAATATCCTAAAAATTATTAGATGTTTGCTTAATTTATTCAATGTAACAATCCTTTCAATGTGTGTCTGATTCATAAACCCAAATCGGGTTTGTAAGATAACCTTTCTAAAAGGATTTTGTTTTTTTAATATTTAAGGTAAGGTTTGGTCATCTATTTATATTTATATTTATATGTATTTTTAAATAATACTTGAATATGTTAATAACAGTTTATCAAAAGCTAAAATTTATAAACATATAAACAAATTTTTACTGTAATCATTTCATCAAATAAAATTTAATGAAAATGATTAAATTTAACAAATAATTAAATTTTTTAAAATTAATTAATTATTATCATTTCAAAAACATTAACACTTAATATTATTAATTGGTATTTATAAAAAAATAATGTATATCTATATTAGTTATTGTATTTACTAAATTTAACATTTGAAATATAAACCACATAATAAAATAAAATTAATTACTTTTAAACTTGGTACATAAGTTTTTTGTGCATACATTAATTTTAATAATATGTATTTTAAAATTAAGAGATAGGAATGAATATGAAAATTATCATCTTTAATTCAAAATAAGCATGGCAATAACTAATTGTAACAGTCATAGCATTGCGCATACCATGATTGTAATTTGGTTTGAATGGTGAAATAATATTAATTATATTTTAATTGCATTAATATATTCACACAAATTTATATAAATACTCAAACAATCAATAATTATAATTCTAAACAGATAATTATAATAGGAATTTTTATGTACCTTGAAAAAATGGGCCATGTACATAGACAAGGTACATTCAACTAATGTTAAAATTGATTTAATTAGTTGTTTGTCAAGTTATTGTTTAGCAGTTGAATTGATGGATCAATTCAACCTATTAAACAACTATATATTAACAAAATGTATAATTTACAAAATTTATCCATTTATATTTTAATCTTAAACTTAAAACTCGACTGCTAGTTACCAGTCGAGTTTAGTTTTACGTGGACGATGACAAATAGTTCTACATTTCATTTATGATTTAACTCAATTTTTAACAGAAGATTGAAATAAAGGTGTATTGAAAATATCCTTAATAAAAAAACAATTATTTAATTAATACCTTCACTTGAAATACCAGTTACTAACATTATCATATACTAAAACAAAAACATGCATATTTGATAAAACCCTGAGTATTTAAAAACTAAATGCACAACAATTCAAACTACATGAAAATCTAAAAGTAAAAAGAAATAACATATTGTGAACCACTGTAAGAACAAAAAATAGACTAAATAAAAACATAAGCTGATAGAGACAATATGTAACCCTTAAAAGATAGCACATAACTCAAAATAAATTTAAAACTCAAAACACAATAAAGAACAGAGATTATTTACACCTTCTACCATAAATCATTAAAAAAATTGGCAATGTTCAACAAAATAAATATAAGCTATACAAATCAATAATCCCGTTAAATCAGCCTCAATAAAAAAATTTAGGTTTCTTTTTCTAATCAGTTTTTCTCTTCTCTTTTTTTTACCATAACAATTGTGAATAATTCTTATTTCCTTCCACTACTTCACTCAAAATTACTATCAAAATCGAGACTGTTGAAAGAATCAACCATCACAGTCTCTATTCCCATCACCTCAAAAAAAAAAAAACAACCTAAGACCACAGGCTTGAATATTGGAGCCCAAAAAGGTCAAGAAATCTGGTCTGAGTAGATTATTTAAATACAGTTTAAGTGCTACTTCCTGTAGCACCACCATTGGAGAGTTGAGGCAGACTGCATGACTCTGCAGTTTCTTCCAGGGTTATAGCTTGAAAATTAGCTGTCAAGTTATTGGATCTTGATCCACGGGGAGACGATGAAGTGGAAGTAGATCCAGACCGTGTTTTAGAAGACAGCCATTTCATCCAGTCATTATGTCTTCTCAACTTGTCACCCTGCAGTTAGAAGAAAACAAATTAAAATACAGTGCAAATTACTTAAATGAAGTATTGACACGTAAAAAGTACTATTATCTGACAACTTACCAGCACCTCCACTATTGTGGAAGTTCTCATAGAATCCAGTATCAACTGAACATTAGTGGTAAGACTTTTAACCTGCAAAAATACGGTACATAGAGAAAAAACAAACCTAAAGTGCTAAGTACTTATGAAGATTCGAAGTTACAAAATACGAAGACGAATAGAACACTAGATAGGAGACATCTCAGAAAATCCAATTTCATCACTAGTCACCCTAGGTAGCATACCATATTACTGATCAGTTAATAATAACGATTAAACATTTTCATTAGGAAAATGGTCAAATTCAAAAAAAGAATTAGTGATCTAAAAGAAGAAAGATCCTACAACCAATGATCTTATAGACATTTTGGAGGGTTCTATCTGCCAAAGCAGAAAAAAACTCGCTGATTCCACAATCCTACGAACCAGAGATTTCACATAGATCACACCACATACAATTATAGCACAGCTTCGATTTGTGTGATTTAACAATCATACTGATAGCTACAAAGAAAAGTTTATATTCTTTGTAGTTATCAGTACGAATGATAGTTAAGATTTCACTTAGATCTTACCATATACAATCAAAGCTCGGTTTCAGGTTTGTGTGATTTTACAAACTGATGATCGCTAAGAAAAGTTCACAATCTTTGAGATCTTATTATCTCCTAATTGTATTTGTCACACCCTAAAAGGAATCATACTTTTTATTTCTAACATCCTAAATCAAAAACTGGTGTATATGTCCTTTATTTTCTGAGACATCATAAACTAACAAATGATAACTGACAGTACTAATGATGTGAGTGTTTCCTTTATTATTCTAGATAAGCATGTATAGAAAAAAAAACAAAAAAAAACAAAATACACTAATCCCAAAAGCTGAATTGGATGAAGAGCAAACTTGACGTCCAAAGCTCACAAAAGCACATGATCATCCTAAACAGTTCTATGCATCACATGCACCAGTACCATAGTGTTGGTCACATGGAACAGACTTAATTCCACACGGACAGAATATGTAAAATAATAAATAACTTCAAAGAGAAAAATTCATCTTTCGTGGTAAGAGACATAGTCAAAGTAGTCATATATAAGCAAAAGTGTACGAAAACACTGAGGCCAAATAGATTGTGTAAGGAAAATCTTCAACCACAATAATCTTAAGAAAACAAGAAAAAACAAAATTGCTACAGAATTGTTATCGATAGTCAAAGATTTATTGATTTACTAAAACCAAGAAGAAAAACATTAAAAGGCTCTACACAAAAGATGTAGGATGTACTTTTTAACTGAGAAAAAATAACTTACTCGAGGGAAGACTGCTATCAAAGTAACAGGAACCCAACCCTGTTCATCCATTTTAGACCTTAAAAACTCGTCTCTCACCAAATTAGCATCACTGCAGAAAACAAATTGAGAATGAATGAAGATTTATCAACCGTCTAAATAAATAATAAACAAAAGATCAAAATTACCTAAAGTAATATTCAATTTGGCGTTGTATCATATTGGAGAGAGCAGAGTCAGCAGCTGGAAAGAATGTTGTAGGAGAAGGGCTGGGCGTGAAATAAGGCATACCAGTAAACTGGTCCATTGTTACTGGCTGATAGTAATAAAACTCTAAAACAAGAACAGAAGAAAAACATTACTGTGTGTTTTATTTTATACCAAGACAAATGATGGAAAGAAGAAAGACAAACCAGAAAAACCCATGGGGTTAGCAAATGGTCCAATGGGCTGATGGCCCACAAAAGCAGCAGGGCTGGGAGGTGGGTGCCTCAGTAATCCTCTTGGAGGCATCCTTGGTTGAGGTACAAAAGTGTCTCTAGTATTCCCATAATTTCGGCGATCTTGATCATGCCTGCTACCATAGCTATTATGATAGGAACCATCTCCTCGGGGACTATGCCCAAAATAACTCCTGTGAGATGAACCACGATATTCATTCATTCCAGGCACAAAACCCCCCACCATTGGTCTTGGGTCCCAATTACTGTTCCGGTAATGATCTCTTGGAGCAGGCTCTGGTACCATTGATACCATACCATAGCTAACTGGTGGGAGATGGTATACAGGAAATGGTGGCGGTGGCGGTGGAGGTGGAGGATTGGAGAAGTTGCTCTGGGAAGGACCAGACACAATGCCACTGCCACCTACCCGCTTCATCGATCTTTGTCTAACAGGCACATTATAATTTGTTGCAGGATTAGCTTTTGGATTAGTATTAGAGGGTTTCTGAGGAGCCTGTGAAGTCATTGGCGCCTACAACATAACAGAAAGGGTCACTCCAAGAGAAAATAACCAGTACCCACCATTTACCATAATTAATATGGATTTTAAATCCTTCTTCACCAAGGCACACATACTCTCTTTGATACATGAAAAACAATATATAGGGTTTTGTGGTCATAGATTCAGGTAGATTGGAAGCATTATACATAGACCGAATTCTATAGTTGGGTATTATTCTTGCTATATTTTCATATAAAAGAAAAAGCAAACAGAATTACAACGCTCGGTATTTGAACAAATAAAACAGAATTATAAATAAGAAAACAAAAGTAAGCAGAGAATTAGGAAATGTATTTGAACCAAACCTGAAGTAAGCAGAGAATTAAGGAATGTGTTTGAACCAAACCTGAGAAGTTGAGAGTGATCCATCAGCAACAGTCTTGGAGGACGATTCAGCTGGCAATTTGGCAGAACCTTTGGTGGAGGCAGACAACGAGGGCCACGATTCAGCACCCATTACCGGCCCAGTTTCGACGACAACGCCGTTTGAGGGTTTATTCCAAACGGGTTTTTTAGAACGATCGGCATTGTCCTCGGCGTCATCCGAGCTATCGGCAACACCAACCGTGTTAGAATTGTCCATTGCCGGCGACGGTGGAATGACCTTGGGAGAACAATCAGACGAGAGGGCCTGGTCCGTAATCAGTGATGAGGTAGAGGATGACGTTGATGGCGGGGATTGATGAATGCCAGGCCCGGATTCCGATTCTCCGCCGCGAACCACTTGAGCCCAGGGCGAAGGAAGATTTTTTCGCGGGAACTTGGGGCTGTTGGCATCGGACTGCATCTGCGAGGGAGCCGAAGAGTGGTGATTGGGATGATTGAGAGATTTGGTAGTGGTAACCATTAATGATTAGGGTTTCTAAGCTTTTTCGCTTTTTTTTATTTTGAGAGTGAAGAAGAGATTGATGAGTGAAGAAGGAAAAGGTGAAAAAATAAAACAAGTGAAAAGTTTGAAATTGAAAATAAATAAGAATTAGGGTTCTTGTGAAAGAATGAAATGGGAAACGATCTTAGGTTGGGACGAACCCTCTCAGCATAAACAACTCTGATCTCTCTCCTCTCTGCTCTGCGTTTCTTACTGTTTTCTCTTCCTTTTTTTTTATCTCCAATGTTCAATTAACCTATTTCTTTCTTTCATCATTCTTCATCTTTATATGGCTAAAACAAGATTCAAATTTTAATTTATCTTTATCTTTCTTTAAACATATACATATATATTATTTAGTTTTATAAAAATAACCTTTTGATAAAGTTGAAGATAAGTAAATATTAGGATAGTGATCTATGGGTTTCTTAATATTATTTTTTATATGTTTATTTGTGTATTGTTATTTATTTATCTTCTTGTAACTAAAAAGCATAATAAATATAACACTTTTACAATCAAAAAATATATATTAAATCTTTGTAAATAAAACTATATTTTGTATTCTTGTTATTTTTTTATTGATAGAAAATTTAGAAAATTATCATTATATTTTGTATAAGGTTTGCTTCAAGTTAAAAAGTAGTAAACAAAATTACATGTGTTTTAATAAATAATAAGTTGTATATAGATGATGTATATAAAATATATAAGTTATAAATAATAAGTTATATCTTTCTTTAAATATATACATATATTATTATAATTATTGTTGTTAAAGATAAATAAATATTAATTATTAAAAGATAATAAAGTTATATTGTTGTTATTATTTACTCTTCCCTTTATAATCACTCATTCTAAAATTATATACAAGTGAATCTTTTAGCAATGTGTGTACAAATATTTGTGGATGTTTCTTCGAATGTTTTCTCATGTTATTATTTTTGTAATATAATTCAGTCAATATTTCTTATCTTATTTATATCTTTTAAATTGAGATCCTTCTTTAGTTTATCTTTCTATTAGTCTCAATCATTTTTATATTATCATCCTATCTTCTTTTAGTACATATATACATATATACATACATATATACATATATACATATATATATATATATATATATATATATATATATATATGATTTTTTTTGTAAAAGTGACCATTAGATAAAATCGGATATATATTCGTAGAGTGAATATTAGGATATTCTATTCATTAGTTTATTGATTAATATTTTTTATTTGTTTATTAGTGTTTAAAAATGTGTGTTATAATTTATTTATTTATTAATGTGATTAAAAAATGTTTATAAATATATTAACTCTATTAGGATTAAAATTTTAAGTATATATTTTTACCATAAAAAATATATTTTAGATATTTGTTTGATACAGTGAATATTATAGTTGATTCATGAATCAATACTTTTTTATTTTTTAATTTGAACTGTAAAATAAGTTATTTATTTATTTATGCTGGTGAAGAATAATAATAAATGTTTGTAAATATATAATTGTATTANAAAAAAAAAAAAACAACCTAAGACCACAGGCTTGAATATTGGAGCCCAAAAAGGTCAAGAAATCTGGTCTGAGTAGATTATTTAAATACAGTTTAAGTGCTACTTCCTGTAGCACCACCATTGGAGAGTTGAGGCAGACTGCATGACTCTGCAGTTTCTTCCAGGGTTATAGCTTGAAAATTAGCTGTCAAGTTATTGGATCTTGATCCACGGGGAGACGATGAAGTGGAAGTAGATCCAGACCGTGTTTTAGAAGACAGCCATTTCATCCAGTCATTATGTCTTCTCAACTTGTCACCCTGCAGTTAGAAGAAAACAAATTAAAATACAGTGCAAATTACTTAAATGAAGTATTGACACGTAAAAAGTACTATTATCTGACAACTTACCAGCACCTCCACTATTGTGGAAGTTCTCATAGAATCCAGTATCAACTGAACATTAGTGGTAAGACTTTTAACCTGCAAAAATACGGTACATAGAGCAAAAACAAACCTAAAGTGCTAAGTACTTATGAAGATTCGAAGTTACAAAATACGAAGACGAATAGAACACTAGATAGGAGACTTCTCAGAAAATCCAATTTCATCACTAGTCACCCTAGGTAGCATACCATATTACTGATCAGTTAATAATAACGATTAAACATTTTCATTAGGAAAATGGTCAAATTCAAAAAAAGAATTAGTGATCTAAAAGAAGAAAGATCCTACAACCAATGATCTTATAGACATTTTGGAGGGTTCTATCTGCCAAAGCAGAAAAAAACTCGCTGATTCCACAATCCTACGAACCAGAGATTTCACATAGATCACACCACATACAATTATAGCACAGCTTCGATTTGTGTGATTTAACAATCATACTGATAGCTACAAAGAAAAGTTTATATTCTTTGTAGTTATCAGTACGAATGATAGTTAAGATTTCACTTAGATCTTACCATATACAATCAAAGCTCGGTTTCAGGTTTGTGTGATTTTACAAACTGATGATCGCTAAGAAAAGTTCACAATCTTTGAGATCTTATTATCTCCTAATTGTATTTGTCACACCCTAAAAGGAATCATACTTTTTATTTCTAACATCCTAACTCAAAAACTGGTGTATATGTCCTTTATTTTCTGAGACATCATAAACTAACAAATGATAACTGACAGTACTAATGATGTGAGTGTTTCCTTTATTATTCTAGATAAGCATGTATAGAAAAAAAACAAAAAAAACAAAATACACTAATCCCAAAAGCTGAATTGGATGAAGAGCAAACTTGACGTCCAAAGCTCACAAAAGCACATGATCATCCTAAACAGTTCTATGCATCACATGCACCAGTACCATAGTGTTGGTCACCTGGAACAGACTTAATTCCACACGGACAGAATATGTAAAATAATAAATAACTTCAAAGAGAAAAATTCATCTTTCGTGGTAAGAGACATAGTCAAAGTAGTCATATATAAGCAAAAGTGTACGAAAACACTGAGGCCAAATAGATTGTGTAAGGAAAATCTTCAACCACAATAATCTTAAGAAAACAAGAAAAAACAAAATTGCTACAGAATTGTTATCGATAGTCAAAGATTTATTGATTTACTAAAACCAAGAAGAAAAACATTAAAAGGCTCTACACAAAAGATGTAGGATGTACTTTTTAACTGAGAAAAAATAACTTACTCGAGGGAAGACTGCTATCAAAGTAACAGGAACCCAACCCTGTTCATCCATTTTAGACCTTAAAAACTCGTCTCTCACCAAATTAGCATCACTGCAGAAAACAAATTGAGAATGAATGAAGATTTATCAACCGTCTAAATAAATAATAAACAAAAGATCAAAATTACCTAAAGTAATATTCAATTTGGCGTTGTATCATATTGGAGAGAGCAGAGTCAGCAGCTGGAAAGAATGTTGTAGGAGAAGGGCTGGGCGTGAAATAAGGCATACCAGTAAACTGGTCCATTGTTACTGGCTGATAGTAATAAAACTCTAAAACAAGAACAGAAGAAAAACATTACTATGTGTTTTATTTTATACCAAGACAAATGATGGAAAGAAGAAAGACAAACCAGAAAAACCCATGGGGTTAGCAAATGGTCCAATGGGCTGATGGCCCACAAAAGCAGCAGGGCTGGGAGGTGGGTGCCTCAGTAATCCTCTTGGAGGCATCCTTGGTTGAGGTACAAAAGTGTCTCTATTATTCCCATAATTTCGGCGATCTTGATCATGCCTGCTACCATAGCTATTATGATAGGAACCATCTCCTCGGGGACTATGCCCAAAATAACTCCTGTGAGATGAACCACGATATTCATTCATTCCAGGCACAAAACCCCCCACCATTGGTCTTGGGTCCCAATTACTGTTCCGGTAATGATCTCTTGGAGCAGGCTCTGGTACCATTGATACCATACCATAGCTAACTGGTGGGAGATGGTATACAGGAAATGGTGGCGGTGGCGGTGGAGGTGGAGGATTGGAGAAGTTGCTCTGGGAAGGACCAGACACAATGCCACTGCCACCTACCCGCTTCATCGATCTTTGTCTAACAGGCACATTATAATTTGTTGCAGGATTAGCTTTTGGATTAGTATTAGAGGGTTTCTGAGGAGCCTGTGAAGTCATTGGCGCCTACAACATAACAGAAAGGGTCACTCCAAGAGAAAATAACCAGTACCCACCATTTACCATAATTAATATGGATTTTAAATCCTTCTTCACCAAGGCACACATACTCTCTTTGATACATGAAAAACAATATATAGGGTTTTGTGGTCATAGATTCAGGTAGATTGGAAGCATTATACATAGACCGAATTCTATAGTTGGGTATTATTCTTGCTATATTTTCATATAAAAGAAAAAGCAAACAGAATTACAACGCTCGGTATTTGAACAAATAAAACAGAATTATAAATAAGAAAACAAAAGTAAGCAGAGAATTAGGAAATGTATTTGAACCAAACCTGAAGTAAGCAGAGAATTAAGGAATGTGTTTGAACCAAACCTGAGAAGTTGAGAGTGATCCATCAGCAACAGTCTTGGAGGACGATTCAGCTGGCAATTTGGCAGAACCTTTGGTGGAGGCAGACAACGAGGGCCACGATTCAGCACCCATTACCGGCCCAGTTTCGACGACAACGCCGTTTGAGGGTTTATTCCAAACGGGTTTTTTAGAACGATCGGCATTGTCCTCGGCGTCATCCGAGCTATCGGCAACACCAACCGTGTTAGAATTGTCCATTGCCGGCGACGGTGGAATGACCTTGGGAGAACAATCAGACGAGAGGGCCTGGTCCGTAATCAGTGATGAGGTAGAGGATGACGTTGATGGCGGGGATTGATGAATGCCAGGCCCGGATTCCGATTCTCCGCCGCGAACCACTTGAGCCCAGGGCGAAGGAAGATTTTTTCGCGGGAACTTGGGGCTGTTGGCATCGGACTGCATCTGCGAGGGAGCCGAAGAGTGGTGATTGGGATGATTGAGAGATTTGGTAGTGGTAACCATTAATGATTAGGGTTTCTAAGCTTTTTCGCTTTTTTTTATTTTGAGAGTGAAGAAGAGATTGATGAGTGAAGAAGGAAAAGGTGAAAAAATAAAACAAGTGAAAAGTTTGAAATTGAAAATAAATAAGAATTAGGGTTCTTG